CGTTGCGTTACGTTACAATTGTAACACAGGGACAAGATAATACGTGGCAAAATTTCATTGGAGATTACCTAATTTTAATTTTATCATCTAACTTTTATTTTTATTTCAATTTGACCCCTATTACCAGAATTGACTGAATTCGTAACATAGGCTAGCATAATTCAAGATTTCGCCAATGAAATTCTTGACATGGTTGATAGAACGAAAGGTGCACGAAGGAATCACCCTTTTAAACCCAAAAAACGAGGGACTCAACGATTAAATCTTTCAATAATGTATTATCAGCAAGTAATAAAGAATCGTTATTTACATCCACCATAATATATATAATTAAAACCCTAATGTTCATGAAATATTATTTTCAACTAAAGTCAAAATAATAAAGAAAGAGACGTTATTAGAACGAATACATAAGAGACAACATTATATGAAAAAGAAATAAATGAAGCTTGATTACAATAAAATTGCAGCTTTATTCCTTTGTATGGCCTCTGTACGAAGATTCCACTTTGCTGCATCAATTTTAAGTTTTTGTCCTTTAGCAAAATCCATCCGTTGTAGAAAAAATATAACAATTGCCAACCTCTTATGTTGCGAGTGCATTTTGGTCATCATTCTCTGTCTTTATTTGACAAAGAAATTCATACATGCACTCGGGCCTTGGTTATGAAAAATGTACTTCAAGTAGTGCCCTGCTGAAAGTTGAGATGGTTAGTTAATCGTCGTAATTTATCAGGTTATGAGATCTATAACTTCTTTGGATCATTATGGTCTATAGAATTAACTATTAATTGTAAGGAGGTTGATGTCATATGAAATGGGGATAAATACACACACACACACACATATATATATAGATGGTTATATGAATGGATTTAATAAAGATAATATTGAAATATGATGTGGCCGAAAATAATAAATTTTTAAACTTTTAATAGGGATGGATGTATAATAATGATAAATGTTAATTGCGGCTCCCAATATTAATTATTGCTTGCCCTATTACTTGTACATGGGTTTGTTATAATTTTGAGGCTAAGGTTGAATCTTTTTTGCAAGCTTTGATCCACATACGAATTGGAAGACAAAACAAGTAAGCGTATTGTTGGAATGTTTTCTATAACATTTTATTAGTAACAATCGTGGTATTTGGTCATCATCCATGACATTGTCCGATTTATTTATAATTTGCAATAGAGTGAGGTCATCGGACAAAGTCGGTTGAGTTTGTCTTGGATAGCCACATAAATTTCGTTACTTAAAAGGAGGCTAAATTGAAGGAAAATGTACAAGTTGAGTAGTAAAATTGAAATAATTAAAGTTTAGTTTACCAACGTGAAAAAAAATAAAAATAAAAGATCAGTAAATTGGTCGACTTCTTAATTTCGTTGGTGCGCTGTGGTTCCTTGAAGGGAGAGTGGTATTCAATATGCGAAAGGCGCGTGAGACAACGTGTTAATGAATTGTAATTTATTTTCAAGTTTATTATGAGCAAATAATATTAGTCGGTAATAATTGGAGGAGTTTAAAGCAAAAAAAAAATTGCAGTTGTCTAAGCCACGCAAGTGCATGTGCCTTTTTTTATAATAAAAAAAATAAAAATTGTTAAACAAAATTCAAGATTCTTTCATTGGTTTATTCCCACAAGCATTTTCAAACGTAAATTGGATAACGTTAAAAAAAGTTAAAAGAGCATCTATCACGAAATATAAATTAATCTAAATTAGGTGCAAGTACTATTTAGTAATTATTCTCCTTTAACCCATTTTAGTTGGACCGACAAAAGTAACTTTAGTATATAGAGTTTCATTGATGTAAATTTAGAGAACAAATTTTGCTGAGTATGTGTAATTAAAGTATAAAAAAAGTTATCAGTTTACGTGTAAAATTATTTTTTATGAGAATTGTATAAATAAAAATAAATTTGAAGAAAATAATTTTGGAAGAATTTGAACAAAACAGTGGTACAAGCTTGATACTCCAAAAACATCCAATATCGAGTCACGACCAAGAGACTTGTTGCTTAAAATATTTTAATGAGATAAATTGAGAGGAAAAAAAATGTCACATAGTTGTGAGTTGTTTATAATTGTTTTAAATTATAAATTGATAGAAATAATTGATAGATTAGCAGACGGTGGGGGAAAATTTTAAATTTATGTATAAAATATTTTATTGCATAAATGCGTTGTTGAAAATGAGTATGAGAAAAAAAATCTAATGTAAAGAGAGTATTTCTCTAGTTTTTGAACATTAAACGAACTAGAACGAACTAGGGCAAAAAGTAAACTAATTTTAAAAATATTGTAAAAACATATTGTATGCACTTAACCCATGCTTGCCTCCCTTTAAAATAATTTTTTTTAATTCTCATATTCATATTCAATTACACATTTACACGGCAAAATATTCTGTGCTGTTTCGCGCGGGTAGTCGCTAACAATTTAAAAGGGATCAGACGATTGTGTAAGGAACAGACTTCTTCAAACAAAGTCCCAAATAAAGGTGTTTTATTGACGATAATTTACAATTGAAAATAAACAGAATGCCTCCAAGGGGCGCAAGCACACGAATATTAAAAGAAGTGTTTAAGTTTAAACTAATAAATCGAAATTACATATTCTCTGTTTGAGAGTGTTTGATTCGTCCTTTTTCTCTATATCTTCTCTTCCTTTTATATTCCCTTAATGATTTTTTCGTGACAAATCGCTTGGAAACTGCTTGATTGCTGTATAACCATCCACTTTCTTTATGGTGGCTAACTTGTCATGGAACTACCGTCTCTAATTGTTGCCATTACTCTTTGTCGTTCAACGGCCTTCAACTGGGCTCCTTGAATCGTGGAATGTGATAAGATCACTTAATAACTGCTTCAATAACTTCTGGATAACCATAATATTTTATACTTGCTAAAATCTTGGGCGATTCGAAGGTTTGGGGGGAACGGGGTCATCGCTCTTGGCGACCGTAAGGTACTCCATTCGCTCAGATTTTGGGCGTCTTACAAGCTTGGGCGATGATGTTACCGTGTTCGTGGGCTTCCACCGCATTTCATTAATAAAATGTTTGGACCTTTATCCTGGATTCCCCAATTGGGCTTCACTCTTTGGGTTATTTGATTTGGGCTGCACTTTTAGTATGTCAACAATTACCCCCAATATGGTAGAATTAATACTAATTATTAATCTTTGCCATAATCGCTTTGTATTTTCCAGCAATATTTGAAATTCCCAAGAATTTCAATCATTATTTCCTTCTACAACCTGAAAAGGTGCAACGTTACAAACCCTTATAAACCCAAAAGACACGTCATTTCATTGCACCACTAAACCACGTCTCTATATTTCGTGCTTCCTCCTTGCTATTTTACTGTTCATCTTCTTGCTTCTCTGCTACGTTTCTCAGGCAAACCTTAACGAAACTATCCTTTGTTCCCAATGACGACTTCACAAACTCAATCTGATGATTCTTTTAGTTTCGAAAACTTCCAGAAAATCCTTACTAGGCCGTATGTAAATCCAAACTTCCTTGCACAAGCTAATGCTGACCTCAATGAATTCTATATGAGTCCATTGTTCAATAATGCCGAAGCCGTTGGACAAGTGGCGGTGGGCCAGCCGTTCCCTTGCACTCAAGGTCCTCCGTTCCTAAACTCTCTGTCATTGAGGTCGATTCGTGAAAAGGTATTCGCACTTGACTCAAAGCTGATGTTAGTTTTCGTAGATGGCATGCACATCTTATGAATCATGGCCCTACCAAGGCAATTTTTTATTGTGCTAGGATTTCAGACTTATTAGAAATCACTCTTCAATCCCCAATTTTCGACACAGTGCTTTTTCCTATTACTTTAAGTTTTTGGTCTTCTGAATATAACACCTTCGTTTTCCCTCTTGGTCCCATGTCTATTACTTTAAGGGACGTTGGAGCCCTAGTAAATCTTCCGCCTTTGGGCAATACCATCTTTCCTGGTATCTTGATTTCCAGTGTTGCCCCGAAATTTGACAAGAAACTTATTGAGTCATATTCAAGCTTGTAAGGCTTTTATAATCACTCAAGCGTTGAACCTTCCCATGCTAAGCGTGTGGCCTTTCTTCAGATTTGGCTCTGTAAATATATTCTATGTGTGCCAAGTATGAAACCTTCTATGAGCTACTTACCCATGGCGCATGAATTGGCGTGTGGTAGGCCTTTGAACTTATGTTCCTTCTTTTTAGCTGCCTTTTATAGAGGCATGGCTTCCCTTTAATTTCAACTGAAGAATGGTGCATCTCCCACTGGCAGTGGGCCCCTTTGGTTCACTCAACTGTGGTTGAGAGCATACTTTCCACCACTTGATGCTCCATCCATATCCCTTCGTTCTACTAGCTGCTATGGGCTAGCCATTGATCCACTGAACCCTGTAAATATGTCTAGTAGGGATATTTTTTCATTCTTTGATACCTTAAATTCTATTCCTTCCTTATTTCCTTTTCCTGCTCATTTGACTCCAGATTATGTGCAACCTCCATCCACCCTAGACAGTGCGAGTGCCTCTTTGCTTGTTTGGGTTCAGTTTTTAATTGGGAGGGAATCGTTCCACGATATCTTAACTGGAACCAATGCCAAAGCTGGGGTTGAAATATATGCTCCCTAATTTTTTGCTCGCCAACTTGGTTTTGGCCAAACTTGGCCTGTTCCTCTTTACTACTCCAAAAATTTGACAGACCGCTTTCACACTATTAATAAGGCAGAGGCACAAGTTATAGATGCTCGCAACATTCTTTTGATGAGCAAATTTTCATTAACCCCTTTCAATGCTAGCTGTGCCGTCCATTCTCTTTTTGAACAGTTTTGGCCATCAGTAAAACGTCGATTGTTTGCAAC